GGTTCAAAGTCCATACCAGACTTTTATGACTCCAGTGAACTACATAAAACTCTCCAGAGTTGATTAGCAACTTCATTGGACTGAAAGCAGGAAATACAGACAAGGATAAATTGTTCGCAAGCAAGAAAGTATTGTTCTCAACAGTTATTTATTAAATGTCTCAACATGCCTATTGTTATTTTCTTTCAATTACAATAAAGGACATTATTAGCATCTTTTACTTACAGCAGAAAAATGTTCTTAAAACTTCTAAAACTCATTTGGGGAAATTTAACTGGTCTCCAAAATAAGGAGTTCTGATAATCTGGGGATGAAAGTCCAGCATGGTTATTTCTACTTAATTGGACTAGAAGTTAAAAGCCAGATGCATATAATCCCATTTGGGCTTAAAATATATATCAATATAAGCAGGCATGTAAGTGCACATGTATACATGTGTAGAGAATGCCCCACTTACAATCTTGTCACTTTTAAAATCTTTTAAGAGATACTGTTGGTGCATTACCCAGATCCCCAAGTCTTACCCCAGAAGTCACTTGCAGACAGTTCACTCTTAGGCAAAAGACTTCTGTCCTCACATGGGACTATTCTCTGTCCAAGAGCAAGCCTACCCTCCCCCCTCTCCCTGCAACTTCATGTCCTGTTCACTATTGACTAAAGTTCTGCCCACATGTACATTACTTAAAATAGTCTCCTCGCCCTCTGTGTGAATCTTCTTCAGAATCTATGGGACCTCCTCAAAGAACTGTTCACTCTTCCATTGAGCATCAAACTCTCACCTGCACTACTGCAATAGTTTTCCTAATAAGTGTCCTTGTTTCTGGTGTTGCCTCTTACAATCCATTCTCTACACAGCAGCCAATGTGATATTTTAAAAACAGAAATCAAATCATGTTAGTCTCACTCAAAATCTTCCAGTGGCTTCCTCTTGCACTTAGTAAAGTCCAAACACCTCACTGCAGAATATGATACCCCATAGTATCTGCCATCTGCCTGCCTGCCTCCTTGATTTTCTCTCATACTGTTCTCTCCCTCATCCATTCCACTCCAGCTACTCTGTTGTATTCTGTTGCTCAAACACACCACCAAGCAGCTCTTTTACTTACTACAAATTTTTGCAGAGCTAGTTCATTCTCGTTATTCCCATCTCAACTCACATGTTACCTCTTCAAAAAGACCTACCCTGGACTGTTAAAAGTAGTCATCTAGGGGGGGGTGAGGGCATGAGTGGGGGGTGGGGGAATAAAAGGGAGATAAGGACACATTTATAATACCTTAATCAATAAAGGATAAATAAATAAATAAATAAATAAATAAATAAATAAATAAATAGTAGTCATCTCAATCACATTTTCTTATTTAATTTTCTTCATTGTAGTTATTATTGTCTGAAATTGTCTCACTCTGTGGAACTTTGTCTGCCACACGCCTAGAATCTAATTTCCATGATAGTAGAGAAATCATCTGTATTATTCACAAGAAAGTCCCTGCCCCTGAAACTTAGTATGTCCTATATGCTCAAGTAATCTTTAGCAGATAACCATTACAGCATAGTATCATATGCCAGTCACTAAACACTACCATAAAATGTTCCTCCATGCTTGTTAACATTAAAAAGAATAATACGTGATACATGTTTTCATAAAAAAAATCATGTGAATTTATTCCTGCCTAATGAATCAGTCCTAATGGAAACAAAAACGTATTTCAGGGGACAATCAATATTCCTCCACAAAAAAAGGTGCTGGTACACTGACATCATAATGAAAAGAGTAGTAATTGTACATAGCAACCAAGGACAGTGAAAGCTCATTTACACTAACCTTTTAGCCTTCAAATGGATCATACCAATTAACACAGAAGTCTAAATTTAAAATTAAACAGTTTTGTATCCATAATATAAGTAAATGTAATGAACAGTGGAGTCTAAAACTTTTTTATCTGAAATTGATCTTTGAATGCCAATCTCTAAAATTTCTATTCCCCTTCTATTCCCCATGAATTCTTTTCTTTGTTTGGAACTGTGTGGTCTCTCATATTTTACTATAATTCCACCTCAAAATAAATAATCAGAATTTTAACATTTAAAGATTTTTTTTCTGATCAGGAAGTGGGGGTTAGCAGAACTTCTCTGCTTTGTCTTTCCTCTACAGAAAAGCTCCTCTGTGGTCTTGATATTTCAATTTAAACGCCTTCTGAACCCAGTAGATAAGAAACTTTTTAGTGCCTGTTTCTAACTGTTCGTGAGTGAGGACCGTCACAGAAACTAAATAGCAATGGAAACCAAATAGGTGCTAATAGGATTTTTTGTTGATTTTTAGATTTTCTTTTAAATTTTACTTCCCCACAACTATTTTATGGGGTTCAATTAGAGTCAGTAACAGATATGATCTATGGAGGAGAACTACAAGTTTCATTTAACTTCATAACAATCCTTTTGGACTTTACATTTACTTGAAAGTAGAATGTGGCAAAAATATATTTACTAAATTTTACTTTCATCACAGTCCCTCCACCCCAACACATGAGAGAGAGAGAGAGAGAGAGAGAGAGAGAGAGAGAGAGAGAATGAATGTAGGTTTGCAGGACTGCCCAGAAACCTAAAATCCTTCTATTGTTTTTCTTTCCTGTAAAAAAAAATTGTTTGGTGATATAATACTTGCAATATAAGTCATTACAGGTCTGATGTTACAGTTCTTACACAGTATTGAATCTATTGAATGAAAAAGGAGCACAAAGGGGATTTCCAAATGCAGCTGCTATTTCACATTTGTTAAATCCTTTTACTATATCGTAGAGGTACACAGCTGGGAAATACTATAGAGTGGGAATTAAAACAAAATGTTTTGGCTTCTAGAAATTCAGAATACACAAAAGGTCCAGTGGAAAGCAATGCTTGATATCAAAAGAGAAAGTTTGAAAACAAGGATGATTTCTTTTAGACTAACATATAACATATATTTGTAAATTTAAACTTTTATACTACCATAAATTCCACTTAGTATAATCTGCTAAGCACATTATTAATATCTATTTTCTAACAAAATTTTAGATCATAAAACTTCGAGAATAACTCGCTAAATCAATTTGGCACTTGCCAAGATACACACAAAATTTAACTGAGAAAAATAAGCAAAGTGTTCTCTGAAAAAAAAAATTTGAACTGTATTATTTCTGATTCAACCTACATATCCCAATGTAATTATTTATCTGTCCATAGCTATATTTGGCAAAAAAGCAAATATCTATCTCTATCCCATTGGCCTAATCCAAGCCACTATCATTTCTTATCTGGATTTCTTAAATAGCCTCCCAACAGGTCTCCCTCCCATCCATTCATACTACAGCTAGAATTATCTGCTTGAAATATTCTTAAACCCTTCAATGCCTTTCCATTGCACTTAGAATCAAATCTCACTTACAATGTTATCTACCAGGTATTGTTGGATATAGCCCCTACCAATCTCTTCAACCAGATCTGATGCTACATTGCATCCTTACTTATTACACTCCAGCCACGAAGACTACCTTGAATTTCCTGAAACTCAGCTATATTTTTCTCACCTCATATATTTCATACATGTTATTCCCTCTGCCATTTTTACTCGTTCTTTTATTCTTTGCCTGACTAGTTCCTTCTATCCTTAGGTCAGCAAAGACATTCTTATCTATCCATTCTAAATGAAGTTTATTTCATTATGTTCTCACATAGCATTCTGTTATTTTTCTTCCTAACACATATCACAATTTTTTAAATTTATTGTTGACAGTATTACAAATGTCCTCCATTTTATTCCCATTTATCCCCTCTACCCAGCCATTGAGCCACCCCAGGCCTTTCTCATTGTCTATGTCCATGGGGTATGCATACGTACATATAACACATATCACAATCTTAATTATATATTTATTTTTGTTCTCTCTCCAAATATAAATTCCATGAAGGCATATTCATGTATGTTTTGCTCACCGGCACCAAGTAGAATGCTGTGCTCAGAGAAGGTGTTATATAAATATTTGTTGAAACAAAAATAAAACATAGCCCTAATATCTTGCCAAAAGCTGGTGGCAGTGACTGAATATCTATTTCCCCCATGCTATCTTGGAGGTATAAAATGAAGCACTCAAGATCAAGCAGAAAAACAGACTTTTAGTTTTGCTTTATCATACCTTGTCTGTTCTCCCTATTCAAGGAAAAGAAATCTTCCAGTGATTCTATCTAATTATAAAATTATGATACCCTTATCTAAAGTTAGTCTAGAAAAGTCTTGTTTTTCTTCCAATCCCCTACATCTCACCTACTGCTCCAGAGCACTAGTTATGTCTACAAAATCATTTTAAAAAGAAGTGTATGCATCCACAAATTATAAAATCAGATCTTTAAATTGGTTCTGAGACATTAAGCATAGGGCAAGAATTTAAATATATGTTATTAGAAGTAAAGGCAGAAATAAGATAAAAATATTATCTTTTTTTTTAATTAAGGAATAAAACTTTTCCTAACTGCCCACTTAAAATACTTTGCATTAACTTAACCAGAAGTTAAGATATATAAAACAAATTTTAAAATTCCTAATCAAATAAAATAAGTTAAGATTTTGGTCAATTCTAGATGCTAAAAAAAAATAAGTATATTTGCTGTAAATTAGACAACTAATGTTCCTTGCTATGGATCTGTTTTGATGGTTAATGATGGAATTTAACATGAGAAAGCTGGCTAACACACTACATGTATTTGATGTTATTGTTTCTACCTTTACAGAAAACTTCTATAGTCTGATGCAATGATACTCGAAGCTTTGTATGTCCTTTTGAAATTAATCTATAGGCATTTAAGTGAGAAAAATCCTAATTATAAATCAAAAATTACTGTAAAAAATGATAAATACCTGCACTTCCTCACTGAAGATGTATTTTCCATATAATCTCATTCCCCTAGACATGTTTGCTTAATATAATTTTTTAATATTAATACACAGCCACACTTCATTTGATCATACCTATTTTGTGGTATTATCAACTTCATCACCTTAAATTCAGAGGTTCAGAGAATATGACAACCAAATCTTCCCCCAAATTAAATATTTTTTGGCAAGGTGACCTAATAATGGATAAAAACTAAATCAGAAACCGTTTTCCATTTTTCCCCAGTTAGAGTGATATTAATAATATATATGGTTGTTGTTTTATGATCTCAACACAATGAACTGTAATGATATGTATTTTGAGCTTTCTCTAAAACACCTGTTTGTAATGAGGCCATACTAATGGACACACTTAGCAACAGTGGCCAGATTTTAAAAGCTCACCATTCTTTGCTGAGACGACAGAATGCTGTCCCAGTCAGCATCTTGTTGAATGGTATTGACAAGTGTTGGTAGCTCCTCAGAGTGAGGTTTGTTGTGCATTATAGGGTGCAGAGGCAGATGGGAGGCCACATGTTGATCACTGCCTTCTTCCTTTTCCCTTGAGGTCAAATCTTGGGTCATCGCTTCCTCTCCATCAGCTGAACAGGCAAATGGAGAGGTGGCTTGCTTGGAAGACATTCTTCTGCAGAAAAAGGAAACAGCATGAATTAAAAAGGACTGTTCATGAAAAAAAATCCCTTACATTTGACTATTTCAGAAAAAAGAAAAATTCTCTAACTTCAGAGATGTTTACCATCTACTCTAAACCACTAAAAAAGAACTCTCAGCTTATCTGTTCCACTTCTCCTCTTTGATTTTAACTCGCAAAACTCTTCCCGATGATTGCTGCATATTTTCTCTCTTACCAATCCATAAATAAAGTGTTTATGGAATAAGTTTTCATAATATGTATAGTATATGTATGTGTGTAAATTCCCCCCAGTTATCCCAACTAGATTATAAGCTTCTTGAGAGTAATTTTGTTGATTTGCCTAGCAATGGGGAAAAAAAAGAAGAAGAAAGAATGAATGAACTAGCAAATGAGCCAGTTTGGAAAATGATTTGAAAGTACATATATCCAAATTTTGCTTATGCTTTACATTGGAACAAAAGAAGAAAATAAAACCAAAAAGGCAGGTTATCTATGATGAAAGTCTAGGCAAATTTGGTCCTGACTTCTGAGTTTACACCTTGTATTGAGTGCTAGGCCTAACACTATTTAGTGTCAATGTGATCCTTTTCTAAAGACCTTCAAGCTGTGTCAACTGCTGTAATTTAGCTTTTAAGTGACATATTGATTGAATGGCTGATACTATTAGATTAGTCTTAAGGCAATTTTATAACATTTGAATTGAGCATATGAAATAACTATGCTACTATTTTTTATTAGAAAGTATATACGAGATTCAAAGCATTAGTATGAAAATAGTAAAATGCCTATAATGCATAATATTTTTAATACTCCACAAACAATTACTGAATATTTCATCTATGTACCTATAAGTAAACTATATTTAGCATAAGGTCTCCATTCTGTGCTTCCATATACACCCAGAAAATCATTATTACTAAACAGAATTCAAAACTCTTATAATATCACTTTATCAAGATGATTTTCTTAGCAAAATGTTTAGAAATAAAACCGCCAAAAGTTTTTAAAATAAAATAAAAGGCAATTGGGCATCTTTTCTAAAACTTTATGTCATTTTTAGTTTATAGCATAATTAGCTCTAAAATTGCTGTGTAACGAAAGGAATAAAATCTCCACCTTAATTGCTTTTTAACATTAATTGATTTCATACCATTTTTTTAAAAATGCACAAATCAGTTAACATAGGAAACCACATGAGCATTTTTCAAATTAGCAAATCATTAACTTGCTAGTACTGTTTCTAGACAAATAAATACTGATTAAAGGGTCCAGAAATCTGAGATTAACAGTTAAATTTACAAATCTGTCACATGCTTTCATGAATATTGCAGTGAAGGAAATATCAAGTGCAAAGAAAAATAATTAAGTTAATTCCAATTTAAACAGTAGTTTTTATGTAGCAGCCCATGTTTCACATAGGATTTAACAGCTAATGCTAAATTTCTCACAATTAATGAGGGGGCTCAGATTTAGTATCCTACAGTGAAAAAATTAAGATAAGATTAGCTAATCTAATTATGCACAGTTCTAAATAAAAGTATTATAGGCTTTTGAAGTGCTTTGAAACCTATTAAATTGCTGATACCTACTTATATAGCCATTCTACAAATATAAAAATTTCATCTATTAGACTTGATTCTAGAAAATACAATGGTGAAAGGAAGTACAGAAGAATGTCTATATTTTCTTTGAGAAGAATAAATGCTATAAAGATCACTATATCAAAGAATCAGATAAGTATAGTCTTGACCAATTTCTAAAAATAATAACAAATGGACTTATGTATACACACTTAGGAAAAATGATACCAAAGGATGTTTCTTAGTCTACATGAATCACTCTAGAGCTTACTTCATTGGCCTCATAAATACTATCATAAAACCAGGCAAATCATAACTGTCCTGCAAGTTTATCAAGAGCCTGCCATAAACAACAAGAATGTTTTCATAGTTCAGATAATGACAGTACCAATAATGTAATCATTCACATTAAAAACAAAAGAATGAATTTACTGCTGCTTTTTAAAACAGCTCAATACAATTGAAAGTCATAATCCAAAACTCATAGGGACTTTAGCTTCCCCAAAAACATCCTCTTATTATAAAGTGACTTGGCTGCTTCCAATAGCATTATCTGTGATTGTTGCTTTAGTATAAATTAATCACGACACAGAACACAAAAGTCTCTTAAGAATAATTTCAACTGCAAAACTGCACCAATGAACAATAGTGCACAATCCTAATTAAACACAACCATGCAGCTGTAAAAATAGACTAAATCTGTCCAAAGCCATGAGTTGAGTTTCAAGGCTGGTTTGTTAGAGTGTTTTCTTAAGGAAGGCTGGGCCCTCAGTCTTAATCAGCCAATAAATTATTTCCTGCAATTACATTAAATAGAAAATTATCTTCAAATGGGGAGTGTTAATTGAAAATCAAAATTCAGAGGGAAGTTTAGAAATTACACGCTGAATACAATTAGTGAGGAAGGGCTTCACCTCTACTTCATCAACAGCCTTGTGGCGATTCCTCCAGTGACCATTCAGGAAAGTTACCTATTTATAACATCACACGATTTGTCTTTTATTTTGCACCTACAAATATGAATGTGCATCAAGATTGCAAATAAAAGATACGCTGCCAAAAGAAATGCCAATATTAAATCTGACTGTTCAGCCTCAGTTCACACCATCATTAGGGGACAAGGAGAGAGGAAGATAAGATAATAATGGTTAATAACCAAGGAAGGCATACGCAACTTGCAATCCTGCCTTTAGCAAAGGAATTAAGTTCTTTTTTATGACAAGAAGAATACTTTTCCATACTATATTTTACTTAAATTTCTTGTATTTACTATAGTTCTCAAATATGTTGTTAGCAGAGAAAAGGGTGATCTTGTTCTTTTAGCTAGTTATTGCTCCACTCTGGGCATTTCCTTTTGACAAAACTGATGGGCTTGTTTCAGGTTTGTTTTTTATTTGGTCTTGCTGTAGTTTTTGTTTGGAGTGGTGGTTTTTTGTATTTTTAAAAGGAAAGTGTGCACAAATTCATTTTAATGCACAGTTTATTAAATAAGTCAGATTCACTGATTATTTGATTCAATTTACTGATTATTTTTTGCACAATTACTTTATTAAAGAGTCCTGCAATTTACTGATTACATACTTATTCATTTCATTTCTTTACTTTAACTTCCCCTTTTAAAATATTTTACTACACAGAATTCTAGAAGCTGCAAAGACTCTTGGTAATGCTTTTACTATAACCATTGCACCATGGCTGCTCTCCTTTAGAAAGTCATAAATCAAATATATACCCATTTTAATGTTTTACATTGTCATATCAGTGCTAACTTTTATTTTTCATGCTCATATCAGTAATTTTCCATTATAAAAACTTTCACACCCCCCCATCCCCAATGCATTAGAATGGTATCTTACTTTAGCTGCTGCCATATATAACTAATAGGAAAAAGAACAAAATTCTTGTAAAAATGGTCAATCTCTATGTGACTTTACTTTGTTTTATTTTTGCACTATAACTTAAAAATCATTTAAATGAATTGTTTTTTTAATTTGTATTAAAAAAAAATCTCCCTAGTTATACCCCGTGAAAACAGGGGGTTATAATGGAAGTGCTGACACAACCCTAACTAAAGCAGCGCAAATGTTGCCGCTATAATACACAAAATCAAGTTCTATTATTCTAAACGATCCTCGCTCATGGGATTTTTCTTTACTGTGCTCCCAGCCAAACTGCTGAAGCATGAAAAATTTAAATGCAATCAAATGTGCCCAATTCTACTTTACTAGAACAAGTGTCTACAGTGGTACAATCTTAAAAGGAGATGCAACAGATTTGTTTGGTGTTTTTTTTTTAACTGTTTATTTATAATACAGTGCACTGGAGATAAAATAAAAGAGGAAATTACACTCACATGGTACCAGTGTATTGACTACACAGAGTACATTATAATCAGAGAGAAAAACTACATTGTCAACTTATCACATTGGTTAAACAAGATGGTTTTCTGGGGCATAGCTATTATCAAGTAAAACCTCCAAAGAGAATTACATATCTTTGGGACACATAAAACTAAGTTCTCATCATGTGTTCCCGAGTTTGAAATGTCTCTGCCCAGCAGATCAAGTGAATTCCCAGGATGCCGGGCCATTGGAAAGAACTTCAGGGCTTAGGACTTTTGGGAATGAGAATGTCAGAGATAGTCTCCTGTAATTGATAATGTTTTCTAGGAAGTTAATAGGAGTATCTCTAGAAAGATGATAATTATTTTACTCCAAAACCCCAGTATCAAATCTGAATGTTTAGACCATTAAAACCTACTCAGACAGTAAATTTACTTTATATCTTTTAACAAGAAATCAAGATTAGCTTGTCTAAGACTTTATAAGATGGGGAGGACTAGATATCTACACAGTAAATCCTCTATCTCAGAAAAGCATACTTTCTAGAACATTAAGCCTTTCTGGTTTTATGCTGTTTTTTAAAAACAGTCATTTGTATATGTTTAAAAGTTAGGATTATTTTAAGACAACTTTCTCATAAGGCATAGCCACTCAAAATTACTTTTTTTCTTTACTATTGCTTGAAAAGAATCTGTCTCCAAACTATCACCTGGAACTTAACTATAGAAAGGAGCCTTGAATTTATTAGAACAATATTTTTAACCTGATTTTTAAAAATGTTTTCATGACTTCTAAGATTATTACCAAATGGTATTCACTTTTTAGGTGTGTTACATTTATTCAAAAGGAGCCCTGTTTTGAACACAAAACAACATTTTAATAGCTGGTTTACATAAATAAAATATTAAAAATTCAGACCAACATTCACATTTATTTTTG